TATCAAGTTGAGGGAATCCCTCTTTCTTTCTAATTTCCTGAGAAGTTTTATCATGAATAGATGTTGGATTTTGTCAAATGCTTTGTTTGGGTCAACAGATATAATCACATTATTTTTATTATTTAGCTTAGTCACATGTGGATTACATTAATTGATTTTCAAATATTTAACCAGTCTTGCATGCCTGGAATAAATCCCACTTGGATGTGGTGAATAATTATTTTTAGACATTGTTGGTTGGATTCAGCTTGCTGATTTTTTTTTTTTTGCTTGCTGATATTTTGTTGAGGATTTTGGCACCTAAGTTTGTGATTGATATTGGTCTATAGTGGGTCTATATTTTGTTTGTATGCTTTTTTAGTTTTTACTCTTTTTGGTTTAAGCATCAGGTAATACTGGCTTCACAGAATGAACTGGGAAGTGTTCCCTTCTTTTCTATTTTCTGGAAGAAAATATACAACTGGGTATGAATTCTTTAAATGTCTGGTAAAATACTCCAGGGAAACTCTCTGGGTCTGGGGATTGATGTTTCAGAAAGTTAGAAATTACAAATTCAATTTCTTTAATGATTACAGAACTATTCAGATTGCTTAGTTCATCTTAGCTGTGGTTTGATAGCTATGGTTTTCAGGAAACTGGTCCATTTCTCCTAAATTGTTGGATTTTTGAGCACAAAGTTGTTTATGTTTATTATTATTAAAATCCTTTTGATGCCTGTGGAATCTGTATTAATATCCTCTATTCCATTCCTGATATTGATGATTGGTATCTTATTTTTATTTTTGTCAGTTTATCAATTTTATTGTTTTTTAAAGAATCAGCTTTTGTTTCATTCATCTCTTTTGTTTCCCTGGTTTCAATTTTATTTATTTCTGCTCTTATCTTTATTATTTCCTTCCTTGTCCTTGCTTTCCATACTTGTGGAAGGAGGGCAGGGGTGTAACAATCTATGACCTGCTTAAGAAACTCTATGTTATATCTTCACCAGAAGGAGAGTGAAACATGAGAAAGGGCATCTGGGAAGAAGCTGGGTGAGAGCATTTATGTTCCAGGCACAGAGGAGGGAAAAGAGGCAAGAATAAAGCATGAATGGCGAGCACATAAATTGGTGCTGAGAATCATCAGTCATCAGAGAATGTAAGTCAGAACTCCAGGGAGACACTAGCTCACACCCACCAGGATGGCTGGAACCAAACAGACAGATAATAAAAAGGACTCGGGAGAATGTGGATAAATTGGAAAGCCATGCCATGTTTGTAAAATGGCATTGCTATTTTATTCCTCAAAAAATTAAATATAGTTGCTACTAAATTGTACATTTAAAAATGGTTAAGATGGCAGATTTTATGTTATTGTATCTTACCACAAGAAAAAGAAGTTAAATACAGAATTATTCTATGTCCCAGAAATTCTGTTAGGTATCCATTAGAAATGAAAACACATATCCACACAAAACCTTGTATGTGAATATTCACAGCAGGATTATTCTTTATAGCCAGGTGGAAACTACCCAAATGCCCATCAACTGTGAATGGGTAAATAAATGGAAGATTATTTGCTTATTTAAACCAAAATATATAAAATACATGATCCCATACAGTGGAATATTATTCAGCCATAAAAAGGAATGAAGTATTGATATTTGCTACTGTAAGAATGAATCTTAAAAATATTATGTTCAGTGAAAAAGCTGGTGAAAGAGGCCACATATTGTTTGATTCCATTAATGTGAAAAATCTAGAACAGAAGAATATAGAAAGGCAGAAAGTAGACTAGGGGTGGGTGTGTGACAGGATGGGATGGAGTTTCTCTCTGGAGAAATGGAAATGTTTTTGAATTAGGCAGTGGTGATGGTTGCAAAATCCTGTGAATATACTAAAAACTGCTGAATTGTACACTTAAGGGGGTGAATTTTATGGTACATAAGTGATATGTCAATTTTAAAAAGAGCCAATGGAGAGAACTAAGGAGAAGGGCATCTCCCTGGAGCAGTGGGCTGGGAGAGAGCACAGGACATGGAGGCCCCCAAGGTCAGTGACAGACCCATCAGAGCCTCTGAGAAGAGGACTGTGGGTGGGCGGTGCTGAGCAGGCTCGTGCTGGCTATGGACCTGAGCGCCAATGGCACCCTGAAGAAAGGTAGCCAGTGTTTTAGATGGCAGGAGTTCCCAGCTTCAGATCAGAAGAAGAAAAGCCTAAGGAGGTAAAGTGAAAGTTAATTCAAAAAAGCAATAATGATCCAGCAGCGAGAAAGAACAAGAAGTATAGACTTCTTTTGTACCTAAATGGTATAACTAAGGGCTCCACTGGGGTTGAAAATATGATTTCCCTGAAGGCAACCCTAGACAGTTGTTGTTTCCAGTGGAGGAAAAGGTGAAGTCAACAAGGAGAATTTAACAATGCTAGAATAAAAATGGAAAATAAAAGAAATTCACATGAGGACTGTCATGTAAAGTTGTACTGGTTGTGCACTGCACAACCCTAGGAAGTGCCATTCACACTGATGTGTAAATGTATGGCACTGCCTAGAGTTGTGCAATATAGTCCTGATCTCAGCAATGGAGGATGCCTCCTCTTTTGAGACACGAACCTTTGAAAACTGGGAGGAGGACATACAATGACATTGAGGCAGAGAGGGAGTTCAGGGGCTCATGTCTGAGGCCCCCTTCTTTGTCATTCAAGTTAAAGGTGAAGTTCTCATTCAAGATTAAGAGAGAAGAGTAGACATTTGTGGAAAGTCTAAAAACATTCAGGGTAGCTGATGAGTAGAGGTTGTCAGGGTCCCTCTCAGGTCAGATAACCCAAATTTATGGTAGACTCACTCATGCACCATTTTATGGCTTCCTGCAGCACCTTGGGGTGGGCAATAGGCAAGCAGAGAGTGGGATCACCCAGAGTTAGAAACATGCAACCAGGAAGGGGAGAAGTAACAGGAGCAGTAAGGCCTACTCCGGGCAGCTGATGGAGATCGTTGGGGAGGCAGGGGTCTGTTACACCTCCATTTACCTCGTGGTCATCCAGCAGGCCATGAGTGCTCACCAAGGCATGCAGGAGGTGCAGAAGGGGAGTTTGGGCTGCATCCCAGGTGGGACTCACAGGAAGGCTACACACACAGGGGAGGGTGAGGCCAGCTGGAGGCGGGAGGGGGCCTTGAGATTGCAGTTGGGAGGTGAGCGGCTGGCAGGAAAGGAACCTAGGCCATGGCTCTGCAAGGTCTCAGCATGAGTTGGGTCCTTCCCAGCAGGGTGGCCAGTGTTGGGGGGAGGGCTGGGTCCCTAGGTCAGCACCTAGGACAAGGAGGGGACACGAGGAGGCCTCCAGCCCAAGGCTGGACAGCAAGCTCCTGGGAGCTGGTGATGGCCCTGTCCTGTGCTCTACATGCTGCCCCGCTGGCCAAATGCTCTGCTTGTCTGTGGATTTTGTTATTTCCCCTGCAGATGCCATCATAACCCTCATTCCCACAACCACCCTTCAAAATCCAGCTCAGTGTACATCAATTTCCTTCCTCCTTTGTCACCTTGACAAGAATACTTCTTCCTGATTTTTTTTTTTTTTTGATTCAAGTAAATCTTGTGGTCAGGGTCTGATTTCTGGAGAGGAGATGCTTTCTGGCCAACAGAACTGTTTGGCTCCCATGCCATTCCCTCATTTCTTCGACAGATGCGCGCTGAGACTCCATCTCTCATGGGGCACCACAGGGGACAGACCCAGTTGGCCCTGCCCTCCACAAGCTGACATTCCAGCAGGGCAGGCAGGATGGAGACAATGGAGAGATACGTGCTGGGGATGGGGAGGGCAGGTCCTCGAGGGAAGCTGAGGCGTCACACAATGAGTAAATCACAGGGACACTCCAGGAAGGAAAGGCCTGAGTGAGGCGTGTACCCAGAGCACCTGGTGGCTCTGTGGGGCCAACGTGGAGAGGGGCCTGCAGCACCAGAGCCAGATGAGGGGACATGGCCCTGCCCTCGCAGGGCTCACATGAAGGGGACACAGAGGGAAGTGTAGCAGCTGGAGAACACAGAGGGCCAGCCTTCATAGAGCGGTGCCTCCAGGCTGACTCCAGAGGGTGAGTGGATGTCAGAATAAGTTGGGATGGGTGAGGAGGCCCAAAGGAGGTGCAGCCTGGGGGAAAGGCAGGAGCTGGGAGGGAAGATGGTGTTTATAGCTGTGAAGGAGGGGACACAGCAGGTGCAGTGGCCTCCCTGGCAGGTCACCCACCAGGTGCCTCTTCTTCCTCTTGGCAGAATCCTGATTTAGTTCCAGGCAGTGGTGCACCTGGCCCTGGTGGATGTTGTGACTGTGTCTATTTGTTCCAGAGAGTGGCCGTTGCCAGCCTTTCTTGTAGCTGCACAACCTTGCCCTGGAAAGGCAGTGTAAGAGCTGTCAGCAGCAGGGCCCTGGGCGGGACTCCTGCCCTCTGACTAGTCAGGGCAGCGTGAAGGGAGAGTCCACTCCTCCCCTCTCTAGCCTACTTTGCGCAAGAGGCAGCAGGTAACCCGTAGCTAGGATAAAGAAAAGCTGACAGCCTAAGAACACTAATGCACAGGGACAGGTGTTTGAGGACACTGCCACACTGGCTAACAAAACCTGAGGCTGTCTGCCTCCCGAGTACTCTCTGAGTGCAGTCATGTCAGGGACTGTCCCTTGCAGCCTCAAGTGCTTCTGGCCCGACAGGGTGGGGTGTGGAGAGGAAGTGCCTGTGCCCAGCACTGCTGCACACACTCGCATGGAGGCAGCATGGACTCCCATCTTGGATTCTTCCAGTATCTCCATTACATTCTCTAGCAATGGGTTTCATTTTGGGTGGTGAAGAGCCATAGGTTCTTTCACAATTAGGGAAATCTTGGCATTTTAATTACCCACTCCTCTTTTCAAAAGGTTAACTATTAGAGAAAAACAGAAGTTCCTTCTTATGAAAACAGCCTTAGAATAACTTCAGGCTTTTAAAATCATGTCAGCATTCTTGAAGATCTGATAATATCATGAGCTCATGTATCTTACCACTGTGAAGTCAGCGTACAAAATACATCATCTCTTCCAGATTCTCGGAATAACTTCAAAAGTTCCGGATCCCCAGACAAATGTGCAAGAATGCGCAATTCAATCTGTGAAAAGTCTGTAAGATGGAGTCCACATTAATTGTGAATCTACCAACAGTGTTCCTGGTCATTGCCATCCACGCTGCAGTCCACCCTCAACCTCCCACCCCCACTGCAGTATCAAGAGCAACATCCCCCACCCATCTGCCAGGGTCCTTTAGCCTCAGGGCCACTGGCCATCCCTGTGTCTGTAAGTCTCAGAGACTCGTCCTGCCTTCTATGAGACCAGCAATGCCTCTGGGGTGGGCTACCTGCACTCATCTGTTCATTCTGTACATCACAAGTTTAGAGAAGCCTACTGTGTACTGTGTGCCAGGTGTGTGCTTGGGATTTGACAGTGAACAAAACAGACCAGCCTCTCTTCATGGAGCCCATGTTCTAGGAGCAGAAAACAATGTGCATGAGTTATCTGGTATGTCAGGAGATGAGAAGTGAAGTGGAAAAGACAGATCAAGAAAGGAGGTTCAGGAGGGAGTAGGTGGTCAGCATACACCCACGTGTACACCGTACACGGAGAAGATGAGGGAGGGAATGAGATAGTATCTAGCAAAGAGGTTTCACGCAGGCGTGGGGTGGGACTGGCCCCGCTGGAGGCCAGCATGTCTGCAGGGAGAGAGCAGGGTAAAGCACCAAGCATGAGTGTGATGAGGACAGAGAGAAGATAGGAGGGTAGAGTGGGTGGGACCATGTGGGGGCATCTGAGATCTAGAGAAGGCAAGGGACCCTCCAAGCAGATATGCTTTTATGTACTGTGCACAAGAAATCTTTCCTTTGTGTAAATATTTGCCTTAGGATGTTAGAGAATGAATTCTGTAAGTACCTTTGAATTCTCAACTTCCAAGTATTTGAACCATATGAGACGTGTGAAGTGAGCCCCAGTGACACAGAGATGTGTGTCTCTGGCATAGTCTGCCCATACCTGCTGCCAGGAAGGTGTGGCTCTCGGGTGCAACAAACATGCTCCTTGGGGAAATGGTGAGCATCGTGCCTTCTGTACCTGAATTGTTATTTCAAAAATACTTGGTGAATATGGTCATGCACTGATTCACAGCCATTCCTCACACAGTTTATTTTAATATTATTCCAAAGTCAAGAGTCTAGATTTCTGACTTTTCTGAATATTTTTAATACAGTTTATTTATTTTTATTTTTTTAAAGATTTTATTTATTTATTCATGAGAGAGAAAGAGAGAGAGACAGACAGACAGACAGACACATGCAGGGAGCCTGACATGGGATTTGATCCTGGGTCTCCAGGATCAGGCCCTGGGCCGAAGGTGGCACTAAACCGCCGAGCCACCCGGGCTGCCCATTTTTAATACAATTTAAAAGCAACACGGTACTGCTGAGAGTAAAGTAGATTTTCTGTTGTTAAAATTTTACATTCTGTCTAGAATTCTTGGTGAGGAAAATCTCAAATAGTGACCCTTGAACATACACTGGTAAGAATGTTCTGGAGGCTCCCTGAGCCTCACTGCCTAGAAGATAGGCTTTGGGGAAGCACAGTTTCTATGATGCACAGGGTATGTTTTGAAGGGCAGTAGAAGACAAGGTGCTTGTTGTGGTCGCCTCCATGTGGGGTCCTGCCTAAGGGTGACTATGTATTTATTTGAAAGGACCCCTGGTCATGCTTCACTGTTTTGTGGTGACCCAGCAGAAGCAGTGGTTCCCAAAGCAGAGGGGCCGGAGCACTTCACCAGGGGTGCAGGAGTTACAGGGATGGGCCTTACTTTGCTCAGATATGACCTTTTTGTTTTTTAGAAGTGTAACTGTCCACATACAGTGGAATACCTCAGAAGAAAGAACAGTGTTAATATGCTTTTATAAACATTTCCAGTAGCTTTCAGACTTTAATAGAAGCCAATTCTATTGTATGTTTGTTTTTTTTTCTCTATTGGGAAGTTGGTGGGGGAGAGATGGTGGGAGGGGAGCTACTTTCCTCATATAATTATCATCTATTTTAACTTTTGAAATGCTAAAAGGGAGGTGCCATATCAGTTTAGCTGTGTTTTATTATTCAATGTGTATTTAAATCCTGGTCATGCAAATACAGAGAACTTCAGGAAGGCAAAGAAGTTAGTTATACAGAAAAGCAATTATAAACGCTTGTAAGTTTGAAGAAAATGTTACCCAAGACTTCAGCAAAATAGAGAAAAATGGATTACCTTTAAAATTTTGCGGTTTAGTAATCTTAATTGGGTGCTTGGAGATACCTTGGATATTCTGTTAATAATAAGAGGAGAATAGCTTTAGCTGAAGAATCTACTTGTAAATTAATCTGTATCATTTAATATTATTATTTTTTAAAATTATTTTTTAAAGTAAACTCTACACCCAACCTGGGTCTTGAACTCATGGCCCCGAGATCAAGAACTGCATGCTCTATCAACTGAGCCAGCCAGATGCCCCCAAATCTTTACCATTTAAGGGCATTTAAAATGTGTCACGTTTTATTAAACCTTAACAAAACAGCTAATGCCAATATATTATACATAAGCATGTTACTACACAATATAAGTATCTAACACTGAAACATAATTTTGGCAAGTACACCACTAAGTACAGTCAGCAAATATGAGAACAATTCTTCTTGACTCCAGCCTGTGTGGCCTTTGTAATTATATACAGTAATGTTGCTAGCAGCAGCCAAATACAAACTTATTAACTTAAAAATTTCTAACATGCTAAATGTAGATTTCTGTAAAATTTGTATATTGTAGCTACCCCTTAAACATATTTTAAGATGAAAATTCTGGTCTCTCCACCCTGACCATCGCCTCCCCTGGTGCGCTTGGCACGTGCAGCCACCCCCTGGCTGGTGGCCAGTGTGTCCACATCCCCTGGAAAACCTAAGCCTTTACACCCTTACAACTTGGACTGAATAGCCGTTGGCTTCCCTCCTGTTACTGCCATTCAAATTAGGAGAACTTCCGCAGCAACATCCTTTGTACTTGGCAGTACCTTCCACAAAGACATCCTGCTTTACCTGGTAATGGGAGTCTTTGGGCACTCGTTGGTCTCAACCCCCTGACAGGATCCAGTGAGGCTGCTGGATGTCCAGACCCTGTGGTTTGGGCCCAGCAACCCCATGTAAGGCAGACACTGTCACCTCATGTTTTAAGGTGAGGACACCGAGATCCGAGGTATGAAGATTGTGGCCCTCACATTTTCTCTACAATATAATCATGTGATAGCTTAAAACAATACCAAATATTCATGCAATAAGCTCAGTAACAGGACAGAGAGGACAGAACACGAGAGCCAGTGAACTTAGAGACAGCAGAAATTATCCTGTGTAGAGGAGAGAAGAAAAATTTGGGGGCAACATAAACAGAGGCTCAGGGACCTGTGGGATAATATCAGAAGCACAATATGATTGTTATTTCAGTCCCTGAGAGAAAAAAAGAGACTAGTGTAGAAAAGAATAAAGAAATAATGGCTAAAAATTTCCCAGATTTAGTGAAAGACATTTTTCAGCTTAAATGAGATAAATTAAAAGAAAATCAGGCCCAGAAACATCACAAACTGCTGAAAACCAAAGACAGAACAATCTTGAAAGTAGCGTGAGTGAAATGACACAGGAACATGTACAGGAGCAGCCACGTGGCTGGCCATGGACTTGCAGTCAGGAGCCCTGTGCTCAGACCACAGTGGCGCTGAACGAGGGCTCTGTCAACTCAGAGCCTGCTCGTCAGAAGATCGTGTCCTCCAGGAATGATAGCAAACTGAATAAGGGTAAGGTTAGGTGCAGGGTGGGTAGGATTTGGATTAGGGGTAGGGCTAGCAGTTGTTTTAGAGGTAGGAGTCGAGGTAATGGTAGGAGTAAGGAACTCTGTAGAAGTAAGTGTAATGGTAGGGGTAGGGGTCAGGTTAGCTTTATGGTAGGTGTCAGTGTATAAGTATGTTTAGGGGTATGGTCAGGGTAGTAGTAGGTGTTGGGGGAGGGTTCATTGTGGTATAGAGGTAGGGTTAGGAGTAGGTTTAAGGTTATGTGTAGCTGTAAGTGTAGGGGCAGGGGCAGAGTTAAGCTTAGGGCTAGTTGTACAGGTAGTGGCAAAGGTAGGAGTAGATTTAGCTTTAGGGGTCCATGTACAAGTATAGTGCACCTAGGCATAGTGTGAGTGTTGGAGTAGGGGTCTGTGTAGGGATAGGACTAGAGGAGCAGATAGTTCAAAGTATGTTCTCTGAAACAATGAAGGTAAACTAAGAATCAGTAACAGAAAGATATCACGAAAATTCACAAATTTTAGGACATTAGCCAACATAATTCTCAATTAGCCAAGTGTCAAAGTAGATGTCTTAAGGGAACTTAGAAAATATGTTGAACAGAATGCAAAAGGAAATACACAGTATCAAAATCCATGGCATAAAGCTAAAACAGTACTTATAGGGAAATTTATAGCATTAAATGTTTATATTGGAGAAAAAGAAAGGTCTCAAATAAAAAATTTAAGCTTCTATACTGAGGAAATAGAAAGAAAAAGAGCAAATTAACTCCAATGCAAGTAATAGAAAAATAATGAAGATCTGAAATTAATGAAATTTAAAACAGAAAAGCAATACAGCTGACCCTTAGACAATATGGGTTTGAACTACACAAGTCTACTTATACAGATTGTTTTGAAACATACAGAACTGTACTGCAGATGTATTTTCTTTTCCTTATGATTTTCTTAATAACATTTCCTTTTCTCTAGCTTTTGACTGTAAACTAGAATTATTTAAAAAATACAGCATATAATACATTGACATGCAAAATACCTGTTAATCAATTGTTTATGTCATTAGTAAGGCTTCTAATCCACAGTAGGCTACCAGTAGTTAAGTTTTTAAGGAGTCAAAAGTCATATGTGAGCTTTCTACTGTGCAGATCAGTGCTCCAATCCTTTTTTTTAAGATTATTTATTTATTTATTCATAGAGACACACACACACACACACACAGAGAGAGAGAGAGAGAGAGAGGCAGAGACACAGGCAGAGGGAGAAGCAGGCACCATGCAGAGAACCTGACATGGGACTCTATCCAGGGTCTCCAGGATCATGCCCTAGGCTGCAGACGGTGCTAAACTGCTGCGCCACCGGGGCTGCCCCAGTGCTCCAATCCTTACGTTGTTCAACGGTCAACTATATAGATAAATCAGTGAAGCCCAAGCCTTGTAAAAGACCAATAAAACTGATAAACCGCTACCTAAACTGTTCTTAAAAAAGCCAAAAATGATCAATTTTAGGAATGAAAGGCAGATATTATCACAGATCACATGAAGGACAATAAAGAAATTCTATGAGCATAATGTGTCCATAAATTCAACAAGATGGAGGCTGCCAGTTCCTTAAGAGATACAAACTACCAAAATTCACTCAAGAAAAAACAAAATCCAGATAACCCACAACTATTACAAAAACTGACTCTGGTTAAAAACTTTTCTGCAAATAAAATTATAGATCCAGATAGTTTCAATGGTGAATTCTACCACATAATTAAGGAATAAGTAATATTGATTCTACATGATCTCTACTAGAAAATAAAACAGAAGGGAATACTTTTTAACTTATTTTATGAGGTAATATCCTAATAGCAAAACCAGACAAAGACTTTTCAAGAAAAAACTACAGACCAATATCTCTCATGGATATAGGCAGAAATAATCCTAAACAAAATGTGAGCAAATCAATCCAGCAACAAGACAATCCGTCATGACCAAGATTTTTGGGGGTTAATCCCACATATCCCAGCCTTGGCTGATTCAACATTTAAAAATCTATTAATGTCATTCTCTATAGAAATGCATTGAAGAAAAAAATAAAAAAAATCATATGATCTTAATAGATGCAGAAAAAGCATTTGACAAAATTAAATATCCATCCATGATAAAAAGTACTCTTAGAAATTAGGAATAGAAAGGAATTCTCTAACATGACAAAGAGAATCTGTGACAAAACCTAAAATGAACACTGCCCTTGATGGTGAAAGACTCAATGTTTTCCTTTGGAGAGCAGGAGTAGGACAAGGATGTTTCCTCCTAGCACTCTATTCAACACAATAATGGAAATCTGAGCCAGAATGATAAGGCAAGAAAAAGAAATAAAAAGCATACAGTACAAAAAAAGAAATAAAATGGCCATTATTCATGGAAGACATGATTGTCTATGTAGAATAACCCATGGAAACAAAAAAGCTTTCTGGGACTAATAAATGAGCTGCCAAGGTACTAGAATATAAAGTCAACCTACAAAAATCAATTGTGTATCTACATATTCCCAGTGAACAACTGGGCATTGAAATTAAACAATGCCATTTATAACAGCAGCCTCAAAATACCAAAGTATAAATCTGTGTGCAGAAAATTACAAAATTCTGATAAAAGGATTCAAAGCCCTAAATAAATAGAAAGATACACTATGTTCTTGGATTAGAATACTCAAATGCTGACGACCTCCAAATTGATTAATGAATTCAGCACAATCCCAATCGAAATCCCAGCAGGATATTTCATAGCTATCAACAAGCTAATTCTATAATTATGGATCATAGGTCTAAAGGTAAAATGTAAAACTCTAAAACTTTTAGAAGAAAACTTAAGAGGGGCACCTAGATGCCTCAGTCAGTTAAAATGTCTGCCTTCGGCTCAGGTCATGGTCTCAGGGTTCTAGGATAGAGCCCCACTCTGAGCTCCCTGTCTCCCTGCTGTACTCTCTCTGCCAAATAAATAAAATCTTTAAAATAATTAAGAGAAAATCCTTGTAATCTTGGGTTACACAGAAAGTTCTTAGATATGCACCAAAAGCATGATCTATAAAAGAAAACACTTGAAGAATTTGGCTCCATGAAACTTTTAAAAACTTTGGTTTGAGAAGGATGCTGTTAAGGGAATGAAAAGCAAGCCTTATACTAGAATAATTTTTTTTCGTATCACACTGAATTAAAAATATATAAAGAACTCTTAACAAAACTCAGCAATGAGGGACGCCTGGGTGGCTCAGCAGTTAAAAGTCTGCCTTTGGATCAGGGCGTGATCCCGGAGTCCTGGGATCGAGTCCCACGTCGGGCTTCCTGCATGGAGCCTCCTTCTTTCTCTGCCTAGGTCTACCTCTCTTTCTGTGTCTCTCATCAATAAATAAATAAATAAAATCCTAAAAAAAAAAAAAAACCAACTCAGCAATGAGAGGTACTTCCAGAATGGCAGAGTGAGGAGCCTGCCAACTCATTCTATGAGATAAGTA